ATGCAACATCATCCAGGTCGTTCGATGCTCTTCCCTACCCTTTCCATCACCCCGCCCCATTCTCCCTCCTTCCATCACCCCGCCCTATTCTCCCTCCTTCCATCACCCCGCCCCATTCTCCCTCCTAGCTTCACCCCGCCCCATTCTCCCGCTTTCCATCACCCCGCCCCATTCTCCCTCCTTACATCACCCCGCCCCATTCTCCCTCCTAGCTTCACCCCGCCCCATTCTCCCTCCTTCCATCACCCCGCCCCATTCTCCCCCCTTCCATCACCCCGCCCTATTCTCCCTCCTTCCATCACCCCGCCCCATTCTCCCGCTTTCCATCACTCCGCCCCATTCTCCCTCCTTCCATCACCTCGCCCCATTCTCCCGCTTTCCATCACCCCGCCCCATTCTCCCTCCTTCCATCACCCCGCCCCTTTCTCCCGCTTTCCATCACCCCGCCCCATTCTCTCGCTTTCCATCACCCCGCCCCATTCTCCCTCGTTCCATCACCCCGCCCCATTCTCCCGCTTTCCATCACTCCACCCCATTCTCCCGCTTTCCATCACCCCGCCCCATTTTCCCGCTTTCCATCACCCCGCCCCATTTTCCCGCTTTCCATCACCCCGCCCCATTCTCCCGCTTTCCATCACCCCGCCCCATTCTCCCGCTTTCCATCACCCCGCCCCATTCTCCCGCTTTCCATCACACCGCCCCATTCTCCCTCCTTCCATCACACCGCCCCATTCTCCCTCCTTCCATCACTCCGCCCCATTCTCCCGCTTTCCATCACTCCGCCCCATTCTCCCGCTTTCCATCACCCCGCCCCATTCTCCCGCTTTCCATCACTCCGCCCCATTCTCCCGCTTTCCATCACTCCGCCCCATTCTCCCGCTTTCCATCACCCCGCCCCATTCTCCCGCTTTCCATCACCCCGCCCCATTCTCCCGCTTTCCATCACCCCGCCCCATTCTCCCGCTTTCCATCACCCCGCCCCATTCTCCCGCGTTCCATCACCCCGCCCCATTCTCCCTCCTTCCATCACCCCGCCCCATTCTCCCTCCTTCCATCACCCCGCCCCATTCTCCCGCTTTCCATCACCCCGCCCCGTTCTCCCGCTTTCCATCACCCCGCCCCGTTCTCCCGCTTTCCATCACCCCGCCCCGTTCTCCCGCTTTCCATCACCCCGCCCCGTTCTCCCGCTTTCCATCACCCCGCCCCATTCTCCCGCTTCCATCACCCCGCCCCAATCTCCCGCTTTCATCACCCCGCCCCGTTCTCCCTCCTTCCATCACCCCGCCCCGTTCTCCCTCCTTCCATCACCCCGCCCCGTTCTCCCGCTTTCCAACACCCCGCCCCATTCTCCCGCTTTCCATCACCCCGCCCCATTCTCCCGCTTCCATCACCCCGCCCCATTCTCCCGCTTTCCATCACCCCGCCCCTTTCTCCCGCTTTCCATCACCCCGCCCCATTCTCCCGCTTTCCATCACCCCGCCCCTTTCTCCCGCTTTCATCACCCCGCCCCATTCTCCCTCCTTCCATCACCCCGCCCCATTCTCCCTCCTTCCATCACCCCGCCCCATTCTCCCGCTTTCCATCACCCCGCCCCATTCTCCCTCCTTCCATCACCCCGCCACATTCTCCCGCTTTCCATCACCCCGCCCCATTCTCCCTCCTTCCATTACCCTGCCCCATTCTCCCTCCTTCCATCACCCCGCCCCATTCTCCCGCTTTCCATCACCCCGCCCCATTCTCCCGCTTTCCATCACCCCGCCCCATTCTCCCTCCTTCCATCATCCCGCCTCATTCTCCCTCCTAGCTTCACCCTGCCCCATTCTCCCTCCTTCCATCACCCCGCCCCATTCTCCCTCCTTCCATCACCCCGCCCCATTCTCCCTCCTTCCATCACCCCGCCCCATTCTTCCTCCTTCCATCACCCCGCCCCATTCTCCCGCGTTCCATCACCCCGCCCCATTCTCCCTCCTTCCATCACCCCGCCCCATTCTCCCGCTTTACATCACCCCGCCCCACTCTCCCACTTTCCATCACCCCGCCCCATTCTCCCGCTTTCATCACCCCGCCCCATTCTCACGCTTTCCATCACCCCGCCCCATTCTCCCTCCTTCCTTCACCCCGCCCCATTCTCCCGCTTTCCATCACCCCGCCCCATTCTCCCGCTTTCCATCACCCCACCCCATTCTTCCTCGTTCCATCACCCCGCCCCATTCTCCCTCGTTCCATCACCCCGCCCCATTCTCCCTCCTTCCATCACCCCGCCCCATCCTCCCGCTTTCCATCACCCCGCCCCAGCGCTCGCGAATGAAGAGCGCCCGCTGCATTTTCTGCACATGTGCGGATCCTTCCGCGTTTTGGGGCTGGAAGGGCTCGTTCGGAGCGTTTTTTTTTTTACCAGGTCACCTGGCTGCGCTTGTCTGGGCCTTTTGCCAATCCAGCAAGGGCGTGGGAGGGTTGCGAGCATCATTAGTCATCAGCGCTCGCGAATGAAGAGCGCCCGCTGCACTTCCTGCACATGTGCGGATCCTTCCGCGTTTTTGGGGCTGGAAGCGCTCGTTCGAAGCGTTTTTCTTCTACCGGGTCACCAGGCTGCGCTTGTCTGGGCCTATTGCCATTCCAGCAAGGGCGTGGGAGGGTTGCGAGCATCATGGGTCATCAGCACTCGCGAATGAAGAGCGCCCGCTGCACTTCCTGCACATGTGCGGATCCTTCCGCGTTTTTGGGCTGGAAGCGCTCGTTTGGAGCATTTTTCTTCTACCGGGTCACGTGGCTGCGCTTGTCTAGGCCTATTGCCAAGCCAGCAAGGGCGTGTGAGGGTTGCGAGCATCATTGGTCATCAGCGCTCGCGAATGAAGAGCTCCCACTGCACTTCCTGCACATGTGCGGATCCTTCCGCGTTTTGGGGCTGGAAGCGCTCGTTTGAGCGTTTTTCTTCTACCGGTCACCTAGCTGCGCTTGTCTGGGCCTATTGCCAATCCAGTAAGGGCGTGGGAGGGTTGCGAGCATCATGGGTCATCAGCGCTCGCGAATGAAGAGCGACCGCTGCATTTCCTGCACATGTGCGGATCCTTCCGCGTTTTGGGGCTGGAAGCGCTCGTTCGGAGCGTTTTTCTTCTACCGGGTCACCTGGCTGCGCTTGTCTGGGCCTATTGCCAATTCAGCAAGGGCGTGGGAGTGTTGCGAGCATCATTGGTCATCAGCGCTCGCGAATGAAGAGCTCCCGCTGCACTTCCTGCACATGTGCGGATCCTTCCGCGTTTTGGGGCTGGAACTGCTCGTTCGGAGCGTTTTTCTTCTGCCGAGTCACCTGGCTGCGCTTGTCTCGGCCTATTGCCAAGCCAGCAAGGGCGTGGGTGGGTTGCGAGCATCATTGGTTATCGGCGCTCACGAATGATGAGCGCCCGCTGCACTTCCTGCACATGTGCGGATCCTTCCGCGTTTTGAGGCTAGAAGCGCTCGTTCTGAGCGTTCTTCTTCCGTTGGTGTCAAATGTTATATGGGTTACATTATTGTAGGCTACAGTGGGTTAGCCTTTAGGGGGTTCACAACTCTAGGGTTTCATATTTGTACCCTCACTTGTTTCTAGTCCAACACACTTCTCATTCTTGACATGGTATTAAGAGCTTAGGTTCTAGACCTAGGACTCACCTAAGGGCCCACCGTTAGAAGTGCCCTCGAGCGCCATATCGACCTAGCGCCCTCGAGCGCCGTTCTCCTAGTGCGCCCTCGTGCGCCTCGTCTTCTCCTGCTGCCTGTGCGCGGCTCGCTAGTGCCGCGCGCGGCCTTTTTTTTCCCGCGCGTCGCCCCCTAGCTGCCCGCACGCGGCCGTTTCTGAGCGCGCGCCGCCCGTTAGCCGCCCACGCCGCCACGAGCAGCCCGTCGACCGGCCCTCCTGGCCGCGCGTAGCCCGCTAGCGACCGGCAGCCCCGCCCGTAGGCCGCCGTGTCGCCCTCTAGGCCGCCGCTCACGCGCTAGTCAGGCCCACGCACAGCCACGGCCCGCCCGCTACAGCCGCCCACGTGCACGCCCCCCGTCGCGCACCGCCGCGTAGCCCAGCCCGAGCCGAACCGCGCCGCCCGAACCGAGCCGCGCCGCCCGAACCGCGCCGCGCCGCCCGAACCGAGCCGCGCCGCCCTGGCCGAGCCGCGCCGCCCTACTGTGCCTCACCTGCAGCAACTCCTGTTCCTCTTCCTGCCATACTACTGCTTCAGCTGCCACTGCTCCTACTGCTGCTACTGCCACTATGGCCACTCCCTCTGTTCTCACTTTTGACGCTGAGGGCCGCCCGATTAAGTTTGAGGTTTGGTTAGATGACCTCCACCTGTTCCTCCAGATCACTGCCAAGGACGATGTCTCCCTGTATGACCACACGGCAGGCGCCGCTCCCGCACCTGCCACTACTGCTGACAGTACTGCTCGTTCCCAGTGGCAGACCCGTGATGCTCACGCTCGCCTAGCCGTTCGCAGCCACCTGCCGTTAGATGAGCGCGAACACTTCGGCCAGCATAAGACTGCTAAGGAGCTGTACGATGCAGTAGTTGCGCGCTACTCCTCCCCTGCCACTGCTGCGATAGGCCGTCTCTCACTGCCCTACCTCTTCCCCGATCTGTCCGCCTTTGCCACTGTAGCTGACCTCATCACTCACCTCCGTACCAGTGACCTCCGCTACCGTGCCGCTCTCCCCCCCGATTTCCTAGCCAAGAACCCTCCCCCGATGTACCTCACCCTCTACCACCTAGTCACTCGCCTCCCTGACACTCTTCGCACTATCAGGGACCACTTTCTCGCTCTCTCACCCACCGACCTCACTGTCGACCTGCTCGAGAAGGAGCTCCTTGCAGCTGAGAAGAGCATTGTAGCTGTAGGTGCCTCTCGTGGCGACCCTCGCACTCCCTTATTTGAGGGGTGTTCCCCCGTCCCCCTTCTCCCCTCCATTGCATCTGCTGCTGCTGTCGACTACCTCGGTGCTGAGGAGGTCGGGGCTGCGTCTGCTCCTAGTTGGAGGCACAAGAGCGGCAAGGGCAAGGGGGGCAAGGGTGGCAGAGGTGGAGGCGGGGGCGGCGGTAGTGGAGGGGGTGGAGGAGGCGGGGGTGGTGGTGGTGGTGGGAGTGGTGCTGGTGGGGGGGGGGGCAGTGGCGGAGGAGGGGGTGGTGGCGGCGGAGGTAGTGGGGGTGGCGGGGGTGGCGGTGGTAGTGGTGGCGGCGGTGGAGCTGGTGGCGGGCACGGTGGGGCGGTGCAGCAGCGTGGAGGGTTCAGTGGTGGCCAGAGGCAGCAGCAGCAGCGTCCCAGCGAGACCCCGACCTCCCAGCAGCTCCGTGAGTGGTACTCTCAGCGTGGGGGGTCTGGGGGTGGAGGTACTTGCCCGTACCTTATCCGCACAGGTGACCGCACTGGCCAGACCTGTGGGAGGTTCCACACGGCACACCGCTGTTTCTTTCGTCTCGACGACGCCTGGCGTGCACAGTTTCCTGACGCCACTGAGCTGCCCCGCTGGGCTGATCTGATGAAAAAGAATATTGATGTCTTTGCTCTTGACTTTGATGCTATCCTTGGTGCTATGTATGCATTGACTATTATTGGAGAGAGTGACCAGTACCTGCGTGTCCCGCCTGACCCGGGCATTAGGACCAGTGAGGCTGCAGCTCTAGGTGCCAGTGTGTCTGTTGCCCCAGGTGCTGGTGAGACTGCCACTCCAGGTGCTCGCGTGTCTGCTGCCCCAGGTGCTGGTGAGGCTGCTGCTCTAGGTGCTCGTGAGTCTGCGCCTTCTGGTACTGAGTCTACTAAGGCACTGCACACCTTCACACTGGACTCAGGGGCTTCTCGCTGTTTCTTTCGTGACCGCACTGCCCTAGAGCAGCTTGCTCGGCCGGTTGCCGTCTCCCTCGCTGACCCCTCTGGGGGTCCGGTCATTGCGACCTCCTCCACTGTCCTTCCTTGTCCTGCGGTCCCGTCGGGCACACTGTCAGGTCTCTACCTCCCCTCGTTCTCTACGAACTTGGTGGCGGGTCGTGCGCTCCAGGACGGGGGTGTCCACCAGTTCACCCCTGCCTACGAGCGCGTGACACACTGCACGTGTGCTCGGACGGGCCGTCACCTGGCTACCTTCACTAGGCAGCCGGGGTCGGACCTGTACACACTGACCACTGAGTCCCCTCAGGTAGCTGCGTCTGCGTCTGCGTCAGGTCAGCTGTCGGCCCCCTGCTCGTGTCGCTCCCTAGCGCACGAGACCGTCCTCTGGCACCACCGCCTTGGTCACCCGTCAGTGCAGCGCCTTCATGGCATGCACAAACGGTACCTTGTCTCTGGTCTTCCCAGGGTTCTCCCTCCCCTCCCACCCTCGCCTGCTCCTCCTTGTCTTCCCTGTGTCGAGGGGCGGCAGCGCGCCGCTCCTCACTCCTCCTCGTTTCCCCCGACGACTGCTCCCCTGCAGACGCTCCACATGGACGTGTGGGGCCCAGCCCGCGTCCGTGGACAGGGTCAGGAGAGGTACTGCGTGATAGTTGTTGACGACTTCTCGCGCTACACCACGGTCTTCCCCTTGCGCACCAAGGGTGAAGTCCCTGATGTTTTGATCCCTTGGATCCGAGCTGCCCGTCTCCAGCTTAGCGAGAGGTTCCACTCGGACTTTCCTGTCCTGCGTCTGCACTCTGACAGAGGTGGGGAGTTTTCCTCCGACCTCTTGAGGGCCTACTGTCAGGGGCAGGGCATTGAGCAGTCGTTCACGCTTCCGGCCTCTCCACAGCAGAATGGGGTTGCTGAGCACCGCATTGGCCTGGTCATGGAGGTCGCTCGTACCTCCTTGATCCATGCGGCTGCCCCCCACTTTCTGTGGTCGTTTGCGGTCCGCTACGCTGCGCATCAGCTCAACCTCTGGCCCCGTGTCTCCGCTCCGGAGACTTCACCGACACTGCATTGGACGGGAGAGGTTGGTGATGCGTCGCGTTTTCGGGTCTGGGGATCTCGAGCTTTTGTTCGCGATACGTCCGCGGACAAGCTCTCCTCCCGCGCTGTTCCTTGTGTCTTCCTTGGCTTTGTCCCGGACGCGTCTGGCTGGCAGTTTTACCACGCCACCTCGCGCCGTGTCCTGCCCTCTCAGGACGTCACTTTTGACGAGTCGGTGCCCTACTACCGCCTCTTCCCCTACCGCACTGCCCCGCTCCCCCCCCCTGCCTCTCTTCCTCGCGCCAGGTGCTGCTGTGGTAGACTCCCTCCCCCCTCAGGGTGCCGCTCCCTCAGGTGTGTCCCAGGTAGACCCAGTTGAGCCTGTCGAGGTAGCTGTCGACTCTCGTCCTGCTAGGGGTGCTGAGCCTGAGCGTGCGGAGCCTGGGGGTGCGGAGTCTGGGGTTGCGGAGTCTAGGGGTGCTGAGCCTGGGGGTGCGGAGCCTGCGGGTGCTGAGTCTGGGGGTGCTAAGTCTGAGAGTACTGAGCCAGAGGGTGCTGCGACTGAGCGTACTACACCTGGAGGCGCTCCCTCCGCACAGCAGCTGCGTGAGTGGTACTTATAGTACTGCAGCCTCAGGAGGGGTGCTCCTGGAGCTAGGGGTGCTGCTGGAGCTGGTGCTGGTGCTTCCCCTCCTAGGCGGGAGCCGCCCTCTCCCCAGCGGCTCCGAGAGTGGTACGCTCGGCGCTGCAGTCTCCGGAGTGGCGCTACTAGTGTTGCGGCCCCTGGAGCTGGTACTGGTGCTGCTGGTGCTGGAGCTGCTGGAGGTGCTGCTGCTGCTGGCGGTGCTGCTGGTGCTGCTGGAGGTGCTGCTGGTGCTGGTGCTGCTGGAGCTGCTGGAGGT